TAGACAGGTACGTCCCCGTTTGGCGTCTGGGAGAAGCAGAAGGAGCAATTACTATCCTTGGCCCGGGGTCACGGCACGGGCTCCAGGTTTATGGATCAGCACCTGCCCGTTCAACCGGCAACAGCCCGGCATCGATCGCGCACCGCGCGCGTTCTTCAGCGCGTTGTTTTTGCCGGCGTTAATTTAAGAACTGAATTCAGATGCCATCGAGGGGGAGATCAATAGCTTTTCTCACAACCCACCAGTGACCGTGTCTGGGCACAGCGGCTGCAGCTCAGGCTCGCTCTTCACGCAGCTTTTAAAATGGATTGAGTACCCAGCAGAAATAAAAAAAGGTTGGGAAAGAGGTCGGGAGCAAAGCTGGATCTGGCACAAACCCCGAGTGTTAAGGTCAAGGCCAAACCACTGATTGTCTTAAGTGATGGGAGGCGGGTGTGGGGTTTCCAGGATAAGGTTGCTGAAAGTTTCTTGTTACACTTTGGAGGACCCACAATATATGTCTGCATGGGCTGGACCACATCATCGTGGTGCTACATGGGTGGGGCTCTGAGCACCCTGGGACAGTGGGAGGTGTCCCTGCCCATGGCAGGGGGTTGGAAATGGGTGAGCTTTAAGGTCTCTTCCACCCCAAACCATTCTGTGATTCTCTGATTTGAGGAAGATGGTGTTAAGATGTGATCAGCCTTCCAGTGCCTAAAGGGGCTCCAAGGGAATTGGAGAGGAATTTGGACAAGGGCATGGAGAGACAGGACAAGGGGGAATGGCTTCCCACTGCCAGAGGGCAGGGTTAGATGGGATATTGGGAAGAAATTCCTCCCTGTGATGGTGGGGAAGCCCTGGCACAGGTTGCCCAGAGAAGCTGTGGCTGCCCCATCCCTGGAAGGCCAGTCTGGAGCAACTTGGAATAGTGGAAAGTGTCCCTGCCCAAGACAGGAGCTTGGAATTAGATGAGCTTGAAGGTCCCTCCCAACCCAAACCATTCCATGAGTCGATGACTATTTCACGCTGCAGGAGCACTGCAGAAGTTTCCCTGCACCAACTACTTGTGAGAAGATGTTGTCATCCTCTTTGGCAGACTGTTAAAAAAACCCCCAAACAGGCAGGATTTGGGGGCACATCTCCACAGGCTCCACGTGCACCTGGAAACTCACCCATTAGTCATGAGGATGGGCAGGAATTGCACATCCCTGCAGTCATTCACGGCTTTATGGCAAGTCATGAGATATTTGGTATTTTCCTTCAAGCAAACAAAAGCAGATGATTAAGGAAGAGGCGCAGCTTGCTCGCTTTCAGGAGGAAGACAGCTTGCAAAATGCAACTCTCAGAGCTTCAATAAAACTCCAGAAAGCAAATAAACAGCCTGGCTGAGAGGAGAGTGCTCCCAGTTCCCTCAGCTTTAAGCCAAAACTTGGATCTTTTGGGGGGAAGAATGGGGATTACCTCCTGCAAAACTGGCACCAGTGAAATGTCAGGAGAGCATGGATAGTGAAATGCCAGGAGAAATGCGTGTCACAGCCCTAGTCTGAATTTTCAGGCTGTATAGACACCAGAAACTTCCAAAACTTTGAGTGGGAAACCATTTCTAAATGGGAAAACAGGAAGAAAGCAGCAGAAGTTCACCCTTCTTCTAATTTTATTTATTTATTTATTTATTTTGTTATTATTCTCATTTCCAAAGCCATTTTTGCCTGAGGCAACGTGTTTATACAAAATGCCTCGCTCTCACAAGGAAATAATAATAAAGGACTATTTGCAGATGGAAAAATATTCTGTCAGAAATTTCCTGGCCCCCTCTTCAATTCATGCCAGTGCTTTGAAGGGCTATAAATGACTGTACAGCAGCAAATTTGGCCACTGAGATTTTGAACCGTGGTGCAGCGGCTCTCTATGCACAGGATTTAAACCCCCTCCACTTATTTTATACTTTTCTGCACAACTATCTCTCTGCTATAAAATATGCATGGCAGCATCGATTGCTCCAGTGATCAAATACCTCCCCCTTCAAAAATACAGCCCCATCCAGAAACACGAGCGTCCTAATTAGGAATAGGTTGGAGAGTTGAATTGCAAATGAATCCATCCCTTCCTCCAAAAAATAAAATAAATAAATAAATAAATAATAAAAAAAATCCAGTCAAGCAAGACCAGAATGGGCTGGTTAATAATTGATATTTACATTTCTCCCGTGTCTGATCAAAGGATTTGATTGCATGACAAATGAGGAAATTACTGTAAAATATTATACATCCATTAAGGACAGAGATGCAGCAGATAGGACGTGGGAGCCCTGGTGATGCGGTGTTTGCCACCAGGCCCCGAGGCTGTTCGGGAAGGAGCTGGGCTGGTGGGGAAAGAGGATATTTTCCGGATGTGGAAGAAAATCAGCCATAGATCCCCGGTTTGTAGGAGGTGATATGGGAAGAGATGGGAATGCGAGTCTGGGGCGGAACGTGGGACTCTCCCAGGAGATGAGAAGGTGGGGCTGGCCCCCCCCAGCAGCATGGTGGGCACCCTGTGGCTGGTCCTATGGGCTCCTGTGGGTCTCTGTGGGGTCCTGTGGGTCCTTATAGACTCCTATGGATTCCTGTGGGTCTCTGTGGGGTCCTGTGAGTCCCTATAGACTCCTGTGGATTCCTGTGGGTCTCTGTGGGGTCCTGTGGGTCCCTCTAGATTTCTATGGACTCCTATGGATCTCTGTGGGGTCCTCATGATCTTCTATGGACCTCGTGGTTTCTCTGGGCTCCTATGGATCCCAGTGGGGTCTATGGGTTCTACAGGCTCCTACAGATCCCTGGGGGTCCTATGGGTTCCCATGGGCTCCTGTGGATTTCTAAGTGTCTCCTTGGGTTCCTATGAGCTCCTGTGGGCCCCTACGGGTCACTCTGGGCTTCTGTGGATCTCTGTGGGTTTCTGAGGGTCCCCCATGAGCTCCTATGGGTTCTTTCTGGGTTGCCATAGAACCTTATTTATCTGTACAGGCTTCTGAGGACCCCTACAGGTCTCTATGGGCCCTCATGAACCATACAGGTCTGTATGGACCCCCCAAGACCCCTATGGGCTCCTCGAGATCTTTATGGGCTCCTCTGTGGCTTCCTACGGATCTTTAGGAGCTCCTATGGATCCCTATGGATGCCCAGGATTCTTTTCCAAGCAATGTCAACCTCTCGTCTCGGTTCTTGTCCCGCAGATAAACAAGTGAAGCCCCAAATTGATGTCGGTGTCCCCGAGGCCGCACACGGAGCGGTTCCTCTTGGCCCCCAGAGCAGAAACCATCCCCTATTTTGAATTTTGAATGTGAAGAACATATTAAATCTGGGAAATACACTGAAGAATGTATTAAAAATTGGGGATATAAAATAGGGGAATTGTAGTGAATAGATTGACTATATCAAATAAGGGAGGTATACTGAATATTAAGAACTTATTAAACACTGGAAATGCATAAAAGAGGGGAAATAAAGTGAATATAAAGAAATTAATAATAATTGGGACTGTATTAAATGGGACAACATATTGAATATATTAAATAGGGGAAATACAGTGAATACAAAGAATTCATTAATTGTTAGGAATATATTAAATATGGGAAATATATTAAGTAGATGAATAGAGTGAATAAGTTAAATATGTTTAATATGGGAAATACATTCAATAGAAGAATTTATTAAACATTGGGAATACATTAAATAGGGGAATATAGTGAATATATTAAATAGGGGAAATGTATTGAATTTATTAAATATGGGAAATATGACTATATTAAACATATTAAATATGCAATGTATTCTGAACATGGAGAATACATTAAACACTGAGAATACATTAAACAGGGAAAATAGAGTGAATATGTTGGATATATTAAATATGGAAAACCCACTGAATATGGCACATTTTTTAAATACTGGGAACGCACTAATTAAATGAAATATTTTAAATGTATTTATATATTATATATTTAGATATAATAGACAATACATAAATTACATATCAGTATATTTTATATATTTGCATATTTTATATATTTATATGTAATATGTCTTTCTAGATAGTATATATTCAGATAATCTTTCTATATAAAATATATTTAGATAATTTATACATCTGTATTATGTATATTTATATACTATACATTTCTAATGTATTATATATTATTTATTGTTATTTATATTTTAGATACATTATACATTTATACATTATATATTTATATATACTATATATTTATATATTATACTATATATTTATATATTATTATTTATATACTATATACTTATATGCTATATATTTATATGCTATATATACTATATATACTATATATACTACATATACTATATATACTATATATTCATAGACTATATATTTATATACTACATATACTCTATATTTATATACTATATATATTATATACTTATATACTATATATACTATACATTTATATACAATATATTTATATAGTATATATACTATATATACTATATATTTATAATCTATATATTTATATAGTATATATATATATATATTGAGAAAATATATCAAACTTATGAAATATATTGGGGAGGTCCTCAACACCTTGACTGCACCGTGGGGATCCCCCCGCACCCCTCCCTCGCGCCTCCTCGCCCCACGTGCGCGGGGCCCCTTTAAGGCGCGGCCCCGCCCCGGCATCGGCTCCGCGGTGACGTCAGCGCCCCCTATTCCCCCCCCCGGGATGGATTTTTTTTTTTTTTTGGGGGGGGGGTAGGGGTGGGAGGGGGGTGTCCCGCCCCGCGGTGACGTCACGCGGCGGCGGCCCGGGGAATGACATCACCTGTGCGAGTGGCCGGCGGGCGGGAGCTCGCGCCGCAGTGTCCCCGCGCCGCGGCCCCAGCGCAGCCGCCGGGCGAGGGCGGAGGGACAGCGGGGCGGAGGAGGAGGAGGAGGAGGAGGAGGAGGAGGAGGGGGGGGGGGGGGGGGGGGGGGGGGGGGGGGGGGGGGGGGGGGGGGGGGGGGGGGGGGGGGGGGGGGGGGGGGGAGGAAGGCGGTGAGGGCGGCCCCCGCGGCCCCTCGCAGCCCCTCCGCCTCGGCAGCATGGGAGCGGGCGGCCGCGCCGGCAGGTAACGGGGATGGGGAGGGGTGCGGGGCGCGGTGTAGCGGGGCTCGCTCCGTGCGGGAGGATCCGGGGGGCTGCGGGCGGGATGCGCGATGGAAGGAGGGGAGGGGTGGTCGCGGTGCGGCGGCCCTGGGTGCGGGGAGTGGCG